CATCTTATTTGGGTTATCACAAAAAATATATGTGGTTTATTATAAATTGCCCTTTTGGTTTACGCATTTTTATTTTCTTAGAAAAACTTGGAGACTCATGCGCAGGATTGTTTACTCTCCACCACCAGAGAATCTATTTAAATTTTCATCACTAGCTTCATCTTAAAAGGTTTATATTTTCATCTTACTTGGCAGCTTCGGAAGTCGAGCTGGAGAACAGAACGTCTTTTGTCGCCCTCAATTGCGTGGAAGGCCTATTGGTCCATTCTAACTCCATCATATGATAAATTTGACTGAAGATTTTTGGCCTCACGCATCAATATTTAAACGAGATATTTATAGTTAACTTTATACTTCAATTCACGAAACCATGGAATTTTGAGGACTTGGTTATAAAATTATCTTATTTTACGCGTTTCGTGTAATTTTACAAGAATTATGAAAGTGAACTTCTGATTTCCAACCTTCTTACTCCTGGGATGCTGCACTTTTGGTTCTTTGTCTTTTTTTTTTTTTTTTTTTTTTTTTTTTTTTTCAGCAAAAAACATCATAAATAGGGATTAAGGGGCAAAACATAATGATATGTTTTTGGCCATTAATGTTTGCCAAAACTATTTGGTTGATACAAGATTATACTTACATTCCTCTCTCATTTAAGAGTTTTCTGAGTTTATATATCAGATCCATTTTTTTGAGAGAGTTGAAAAAGCACGATTTCGGGTTCTATACATTTTACTTATGGTGCTTTATAATCATATATATGTACCTTATGACATTTCATAAAGTTTTAGAATAGTTCATGCAGATTTGGACTTTTAAAACAACACCTTCACAAACTTGTATTATTAGTTGTTGATATACGATAAATTAATATATTTAGAAGGTAATAACTCTTGTATTATTAGTTGTTGATATACGATAAATTAAATTAATCTTCTACTGACTATCTTTGATTTGACATTCATATTGCATGTATAAAATAAATAAATAAATAAATTTATTTACTTTATTAACAAAATCAAATTTTCTATAAACACTTGTTGAAAATTAATAAAATTATGCTTCAACTAAAAAAATATCTCCAGTCATTAGATATAAATTAGAAAAATTATTATAACATAATACGAGTAAATCGAACAAATTATGAGTGTCACTTTGTATATAAAGAATAATGTAATTTCCCTTTTTAAGAAAGTTTGAAACATTTAAATAATTTTTATTCTCTTTTCTTTTTTAGTTTAAAATTTAAGTATTATTGAAATTAACATCCTTGTAATTAACGAGTGTTGTACTAGTAGTAAATTAACGATACCTTACTAGAATTTGACTTGAGAATGTGACTTTATAAGTTGCGACTCTTTGGACCACTCCTTTGTGAAGAGCAGAAGATTCGCTCCTACACGCATATATATATCTACGGCTACAAAAGACAGCGGAACGGGATGGTAGCCTTTTCCATTATCCCAGGATACAATGGTAAATATGTCATTAGATTAGGCAAATACCATCTGCTTGTTTAAGGATTGGGGCTGGTGGAGATATTTTCACAACACTAAGGTCACATATTTAGGCTTTCAAAAAAGGTGGCCATACTTTATATTACTAGTAATGTGCACGTGCGATGCACGTGGTGACGAATATTTTTGGCCGATAAGATAAATTATTTAATTTATTAAATATATGATTGCAAGAACAAAATAAAATATAGAACAAATAAACTCATAAACTCTTAATATACATTTTTTTTTTTCAAAAACAACATAACGATGTCGTAACATAAAAACATGTTACAAACTCAACAAAAATATATAAAAAAATAAGTCCCTAATAATAAAAAAAAACTAAATAAGAACCTAATGTATATTATAGATGCATGAGTTATTTTATCTATTTATAAGTTTCGAGAGTGATTTTTTTTTTTTTTTTTTTTTTTTTTTTTT